AAGAGGACAAAAATGTTATTATAGAACCTAGAAAAGGCTGGAGTACAGGTGGTTGTGTGTGGATTATTCACGTATAGGAATTCAATAGTTTCCTGTATTATTTTGCTTGTGTTAAAGATAAATAGTTTCAAAAACAAATTAATTCACTCAGGACACACTGGGTTCTTGATGTTAAACAGGAGCTGTTTTGTCTTTATTTCTTTTCATCTCATTGGCAATTTCTTTATTGGAGAAATGTCTAGTTCATTTTCCCCTTTATTTATTTATTTATTTATTTTTATCAATTTTATTGAGAACAATAGCAATAAGACAGTTTCAAACTTGATTAGTAGGACAGTTTCAATAATTAGTGCATTGCATATTGTTGTCTTCATAGTGGTTATTCATAGTACAAGATGCAGACATGATATCCTGTCCAAACACTATTAGTACAAATCTTCCTTCTCATTGAATTAAGAGAAAGTAGCTATATATCTATCCTATTTTGTATATACAGATACAAAGTGGTCCTTCATTTGTATCCCTTTTTTTTGTTTAGTTTTGTCATAGATGGGTATTCCATTGCCATTCAAATATTGTAGGTGTGTGAATTCAGCAAAATACTCTAACATAGTCCAGTAGTCCACAATAGTAGTGGGTTTTCCATAGGACTGGCAATGTCAGAAGTTGTTGACTTGAGCCTTTTACAGCTCAGCATATCAATATGGCTTTACTTTTTATACTTCATCTTTATACTTTTTTGCTGGATGGTTAAAACCAAGCTGTTTTGTCTTGTGCAGGGATATAGTAGTCAATGTGAATGACAGAATCCCAGCCCCTGTGGAGCTTATGTTTTAGAGGAAGAGGTAGAAGATAATCCAACAGCACAGTGTGATTCCAAGTAGAGATGAACTTGTGACGGAGGTGGGGAGGAATGGTATGCATGGCTGACCTTTAGACTCTGAGGCTCTTCTGGAGGCTCTGTTAGTGCAGGATCCTTACCTGCCATTCCCTGCATGTTGGGCAGTTCTGTGCCACCCTGCCCTGCCTTGATCCAGAAAATATTTCTGTGCCAGTGGCTCCTGGAAAAATGGGGCAAGGTTGGAAGATCCAGGGGAGAAGGAAAGGACAGGACTGGCTATTTCATCTCTTCCCTTTGTCCTTCTCCCACTGCTCACTTCCTCCTGTGTCCATGCTTCTGCTGGTGGCCTCCTGCAGCTCTGGTTCCTACTGAGCTGCTGGGATACTCCTTCTTCCATCTGCTGCTTGGGCCCAAAGATGTTGCTAGCACCTCGTGTTTCTGGTCTCCAAGCCTCTCAGCAGCCTTCATGTTTCTCTTAACCTTGAACAGACCCCCAGGACAGTTCCTTCAGGATTTTCTCTTCCTATGAGAGTCAGAAGTGGGTTCTGTGTCCTGTGGAGGCACTGCTGCTGTAGATCTGTATGAAGGGATGGCACAAGTCCAGGAAACATTGGGAGGAGAGAGGGAAGAACACACACAGAAGTTTTGAAGAGGAGCACAGATTGTACATTCCAGAGCACAGAGCTTGAATTGAATCAATAAGGAGGGCTATGTACAGGGAACACAGTTGGGAGGGTAGCCAAGGTTAGTTCAGGCAGGACCCTGAAGGCTGTGATGCGGTCTCTGATCCATGCCACGAGTGGGAGAGTTGGGGATCCACCCGTATGGAGCATGCAGGCCCACACAGGTATGTGAAGAACTGATTCCTGAGAGATTGGAGTAGAAACAGAGAGCAAACTTACTGCAGTTCTCTAAATGGATCCAAGTTTTTCTCTAAATTGTTTTATATTTAGACATACAAAACAGTACTACCCTTCATGTCTGCCTTATTACTACTACACAGCATTTCTACTTTGTAGACAGTCCTAACAATTCCTGCTTTATCCAAGGCTTGAGTGAGAGCTTTTACTGTTTTGCTTATCAATTAGATGGGACTGGCAATTTCTAGACTTTAATCTTGAATTTATGTGCATATACTAAATATGAAAGGAGGGCAAAAAATACAGAAGAAATAAAGTGTGATGAGGAAAATACTGATAGTTCACATTAGTTTCAACCAAATTAACTAAATTCCTTTTTTTGTACTGGCTGTTTTTGGAACCCAGACTATAACTGTGGTACAGAAGAAGTAGTAATTTTCTACTCATAGAATAAACAGAGAAATAATGCCTTTCTATAAGTCATCAGAATTAAAGCTAAGAAGTCATGTTCAAGTGACAGCAAATGCAGATTTTTGAATGGAGTCAGCAGAAGTCAGTGGTGATTAGCAAGGTAATGGAGCAGTGATGGCCACCCTTTTTAAGGCTTTCAATAATCATAAACCATACCCTGTGGCATGTGTGCTATAGATTTGCTACCACTGCAGTAGGGTGTTTCAGACCATGGATCAAGGAACTTGAAATGCCGCCACAATTGCTTACACACACACACACACACACACACACACACACACACACACATGCAGTAACACATAACTTGGAGTTGGCTAGTGGAGAATAGGTGCCCTTCTCTATCACTTGATAGAATAAAGTCTGCATCATCTTTCAACACTGTGGTTTGGCACTGTGTCAGTAACTCCCAAGGAATGTGGCACAGATGCCCCTTGTCCCCATTTCTCCATTACAGACAGTGTTGAGAGAGTATTTTCTTCTTGTTGGGCAAATGCTCTGCACGTATCTATACCCAAATTTTGTTTTACTTTCATTGTAAGAAATGGAAAATGGGCAATTGCATGCCCTGGATGATCTGCTGATGTTCTCCTGTGACTGAACATGCCTGCTGCCACAACTCACCACGCCAACCTTTCCCCATCCTGGAGTTTCTCCTGTAGCTTTGTAAGGGCCAAATTCAGCATATCATGTTTAAAAAGGAGAGAGGAAAGGAAGAAGAAAAGTAGAATAAAGGAGTCTGGCCCTGTGCTGCAGCTATCCCCCTGGGGTCCTCTGACTGACTTAGGGCTATGATCCAAGAGCAGTGGTCATTGGCCACAAACCATTCTAGTCCTAGCCAGAGTCATTTTGAGGGAAGATGGTGGGAATGGCTCTGTCACCTGCCTGGGTTCCACTGGTAATGCCTTGTCTAGACATAGAGATGTGTCAGATGTCAGGAGATTGTCCTCAGGTAGTGCTGTCCTTAGCCCAGAGAACGAAGTATCTGGTGGATAGGACATTTAAGAGAAGATGGAGGCTTAGGAGAAGTGACTATATACTGCTGCACTTTGAATTCATTAAATAAACCAGATGAGGCAGCTTCACCTAGGCCCCTGTCAGGGGTACATTTACTATGAGCATCCGCTTGCCTCTGCTACTTCACTGTACAGCCATAACACCCAAGCTGTTGTTTTTTTTCCCCCGTGCTAGCCTTGACCTGTAGTTTTTCAATGGGAGCTGGTGGTGTTCTTAGACTTTGCAATATTCTTCCCTGCTTTGAATGGTTGAAGGAGGAGATGGAGAGAAGCTATTTTGAGCTGGGGAGATGGCTCAGTAGAGTAAGTGCTTCCCTGGAAGGAAGCTATTTTTTATGCTTGGTACAATTTGTCTAGGTTAAAGTGCCTTTTAAAATGTCCTTATAGTAGAAATACTATTTTATTTGGTTTTTAGTGACAAGGAAAACTATTTTGTGTAGATCAATT